CCCTGCGCGTGCCGCCGCCGCCCGTGCCGCGCCTGCCTGCGTGCGTCGCCGCTGTCGCCGCTCCCCCTCACCGCTGCCGCCGCGCCTTCCCGCTCGCGCCGCCGCCGCCGCCGCCCCTTCCTCTTCCCGCCGCTTCTGACGCCTTCCATGGACTTTCCGGGCTACTTCACCATCTGTGGTGGAACCACTCTACCGGCCGCGTCGATCCAGTCGCGTCCTCCCGCACCCGCCGGGTGTTAGGGCATCTCCACCCGTCCCCCCAGGAAGGCCCCCAAGAGCACTTTTCCAGCGCCGGCGGCCAAAAAAGTTCCCACTCGCGCCCCCAGGAACACAAATATCGCTGGATTTGGCCAAAACTATGGCCGGCGCTCTCATCCCATTCCCAGGATCCCGGGGGCAGCTGGGGGAGGAGAGAGACTACTTTAGTTGCTTTGGGCCCATTGTCAGCCTCCCACTCCCTCTCTCTCCTCACTTTTCCTTCAGGCCCACCCACGTGATCTCTTTTCTCTTTCTCTCCCCCACCAACTCCTGCCCGCACAGAACGCCTCGCCGACGACGTCGAGCTGCGCCGGACCCGCTCCCTCTTGCACCGTCCCCACGAGCGCCTCCCACCTCCCACGAGTAGCCGAGGCCAGTGCCCTGGAGCACGAGCATGTGACGGCGGCGGTGCACGCCTTCACCACCTACGAGCAGTGGAGACATTGAGCACGGAGCCGACGATGCCGATGGGTAGCGCGCGGGCAGGGTCCCGGATCTTCTCGGCCATGGTGGACACGGAGTCGTCGCCGATGTAGCTGAAGTAGACGACGGTCGTGCCGTCGAGAACGCCCCGGACGCCGCCAAGATCCTGGTGCCGCTCCTCTGATTCCTGGGCGGCGGCGTACCGTCCACCCGCAGCCCCGCCGCCTTCCTCCTTGCCACCCGAGCTCGCCTCTCCGGCCGGATCCCGCGGGCGTGGCCGTCTCACCTCGCTGCTGCTCGAGCGTGGCTTCTTGTATCGGGTTGGGCTTGCTGTGGCAGCAGAGCGCGAGCTGCACGCCTCTGACCTTGTATCGGCGAGGAGTTCGAGTACTTGCTGCCCAGGATCTTCTTCTCCCGCTCCCTGTTGGCCTCGGCAAGGGCTGCCTCTTGCCACCTCCAGGAATGCCCTCGCGTCCGCCCGCGGCTCGCCGATGAACTTGAGCGGCGATGGCCACACCATGTGCTCCGCCGCTGACGGGTTCAGCAGCGCCGCGCACGCGCCGTGGCCGTGCTTCATTGCCACCGAGCAGGCGATCCGCTAGCCAGGGCGGTTCGCGTGGTGATGGTGGCTGGGTGCGGGCAATGAGTGGATAAATATTTACCCCCAGGCAAAAAAATTCGCCGGCAGCCCCCCAGGAGGCAGAAAAAATGCCTCTCGGGGGGCTCAACGGCTGGAGATGCCCTTACCCGTTGTCGCCACCAGCGCCTCCCCCGCAGCACCGGCACGGGGGAGGGGGCCGACGCAACCGGCGTGGCGGCGGTCGCCGCCGCCTGTAGCAGCAGTGGGCTCAGGACGCCGGGGGGGGGGGGCACTATCAGCCGGCTTTCCCCGCTGGCCAGCAGACGTTCATCGGCGCGCCCTTCCAGCCGACTGGCGCCAGCTACATCACCCTCCTTGCGCTGCCGCCCCTCGGTGGTTATGGCCCGCCCGTCCCAGCGCCGTCCTACGGTGGCCTCCCGCCGCCGCCGGTACCTGTGCCCTGGGACCCCACCCTCCTCGTCGCCTAGCACTCTGCGCTGTCGCCGAGTAGCTCTGTCGTTGGAGGCGGCTGGTACATGGACTCAGGTGCTACTATGCACATGGCAGCTCATCCCGGTAACCTAACCTCCTCC